CTTAATACAACTTTTCAATACACTTAATTTCCACAGTCACTTTAACTTAAACACACGCTATAATTCACAACGATGCACGCACTTTACTTACGACTTGACTCGATTATCTGTCTCTATATCTCCTTATCTGCAATGATATCTCCGCTTTATTTGCCAGGCTTATATACTAAAAAAGAGGGTGTCTAGCAAACGCTGGGACATTTGTGAGGTTCCCCGATACTTCTAGAATGTCATCACGGGTTACCAGCGTTACGTGACTTCCGCTGTCGTAACAGTACGTTTCTCGTCACTTTAAATTTAACATCTTTTATAATACACGCTATAAATCACACCGATTCACAATCTCGATAACTTCGCTTTCGACGAGTACAAAAAAACACACTTTATGGCTCACTAGCTCGAAACTAAGAGAATCATAAATTACACGGAACTCAAAGTAACTTCTGCTCTCTCTTCATTAACCCTGCTGGCTTTCCTCTGTCAGGCTTATATACCAATCTCGGACTTCCCCGATCATTCGAGAAACATTACGTAGCGTCACGTGACTTCTGCTGTCGTAATATTTTGATTTATATAGAGAGACTATTTACAAACCAAGATAAAACTTGTCGTCTGAAATCAGTAAGTGAGTAAATGAAAATATTATTGTACGAAATGAGCTGGAATGAAAATCTTATTGTACGAAATCAACAGATGATTAGGATGAAAACTGTACTTTCTGAAATCACGTGGTGATTAGACTTAGAAGTTTACTGTCTGAAATCAATTGTTGATTATGATGAAAATCTTACTGTCTGAAATTTAACGGTGATTATGATTGAAGTCTTACTGTCTGAAATGATCTGAGATTTAAAATGTAAATCATACTGTCTGAAATCAGCTGAGAATTAGGATTTAAATCGTACTCTGTGAAATAATCTGCTGATCACGATGAAAATGTTATTAAATGAATTGGGCTACTGATAACGATAAAAAGCTTATTGTACAAAATCAACAAATGGTTAGGATGAAAAGCTTACCTTATGAAACCAACTAGTGGATAGGATTAAAAGCTTACCTTATGAAACCAACTAGTGGATAGGATGAAAAGCTTACCTTATGAAACCAACTAGTGGATAGGATTAAAAGCTTACCTTATGAAACCAACTAGTAGATAGGATGAAAAGCTTACCTTATGAAATCAACTAGTGGATAGGATTAAAAGCTTACCTTATGAAACCAACTAGTGGATAGGATTAAAAGCTTACCTTATGAAACCAACTAGTGGATAGGATTAAAAGCTTACCTTATGAAACCAACTACTGGTTAGAATGAAAAGCTTACTGCATGAAACCAATAGATTCACTGGTATTAAAACTTGCCTTCTGAAACTGGGTATTGACGAATATTTACTTTTTAGTGACTTTCGTTCGACGTATTCTTTGTTGTTTCGTGAACAACATGGGAAGAAGATTCTCTTTTTAATCAGATGTAATTCAGACCTAATAAACAGCTCATTACCTTGGTAGTTCTCTTTAACGTGGAGGAAACACGTTTTAAATCAGCATAGTTTATCTAAAAACTAAGCTTCGTTTTTCAACTAGCACATTCTAGGATTTTGTGAAATGCTGCACTCACAGAAAGACGTGGGTTTCATAAGTTTTGTCTTGATGCCAGAAAATAAATAACAGCAACGAAAACGAAGACAATACACAAACAAAAAACAAGAATCACTTTCACCATAGAAGAGACATGAGTTTCGGCTTAGCTGTGACGCGTAAGTCAGTATTATTCATAATGTGGTTTTCATTTAGTCTTGGATTAGGTTAGCAATATGTATAAAAAATAAGTGCCAGAAGTACTAAAGCTTCATGATGGGGTAAGACAATTTTTCTTGAAATTCATAATAGTTTTTGTGGTATATTTAATTAACAAAAAGCAAAAAAAAAGCAAAATTCGTTTTGCAGTATTTCAAAGCTATAATAATTCCTTAAACAAACTGAAACTTTACACCTAACATGGCAAATTTAAATTCTTGGCCCACATTTTAGCCCTAATGTGGTAGTTTTAATGCCTTGGCTTTCATTCTAGACCTAACGTGGCAGTTTTAAGGCCTTGACTTTCACTCTAGAAGTAATATTGCAGTTTTAGGGCTTTGGCTTTCACTTTAGACCTAATGTAACAGTTTTAAGTCCTTGGCTCTCTCTTTAAGCCTTATGTGACAGCTACAAACTTAGCACTCACTCAACCTAAGTTAAAAGTTATATTTCTTAGCCTCTAGCCCTCCTTATATACTTTTCACACACACATAATAGCTTTAAGCCCTTCGCACTAATTCTTGAGCTTCAAATCCTTGACCTCTCAATCTGGATGTAAGTCTTTGACCTTTCAATGTTAAATAAATGACAGCTTGAAATCTTGACAGTCACTCTGGATTTAATATGGCAGCTTCAAGTCCTTGATCTTTCACTTTGAATTTAATATGGTAGCTTCAAAACCTTGATCTTTCACTCTGAATTTAAAGTGGCAGCTTTAAGTCCTTGACCTATCACCCTGTATTTCATATGGCAGCTTCAAGTCCTTGACCTATCATTCTGGATTTAATATGGCAGCTTCAAGTCCTTGACCTATCACTCTGGATTTAATATGGCTGCTTAAAGTCCGTGACCTATCACTCTGGATTTAGTATGGCAGCTCCAAGTCCTTTACCTATCATTCTGAATTTAATATGGCAGCTTCAAGTCCTTGATCTTTCACTCTGGATTTAATATGGCAGCTTCAAGTCCTTGATCTTTCACTCTGGATTTGATATGGCAGCTTCAAGTCCTTGATTTCTCAAAGTTTGTGTAAATATCTAGAGGGGACAAGCAATATTAACCAAGAATATTTGTGTAACCACGTGTACAAACACATTATTGAAATATGGAATTAATATTCGTTGTCATGAATACGTGGTGCTTAACCTGGCTCTCGCGTACGAAGCGAAACGCGAACACCTGTTACTTAAAGCGTCATTTCCGGTTTTTAAAAACATCAGAAAACAAGAGGCTTCAAATTTATAGCGAAAATTATGCTATAAAATTGACTAAAGTTACAACAAGAGTTGTTTTGAATATCACTCGATTAAATTAACGTTTTGTAAATAGTATGAAAGGATACCTCCAGAACTATAAAGTTATGCCTGGTCACAATGGTGTAATTAATACGTCACGATGACTTACTAAGGTGTGACTGTAGCTTTACAACGTACCTGGTCATTAAGATGTAACTAATAAATCACGTTCAGTTATTAAGATGTGACTGTAGCTTTATTAGGTCCCTGGTAACTAGGATGTAACTAATAAAGCACGTTGAGTTACTAAGATGTAACTGTAGCTTTATTCGGTACTTCTATGGCGGTACTGTGACTATAGCTTTACAAGGTACCTGATCCTCAAGATCTAATGATAGCGTCACCAACATTTATTTTTTTAATTGAAATTCACTGATACTTCACAGAACAATAAATTCACCCGTCAATGTATTCTTATGTTGATGAAAATGTTTGAATAGTCGGTTTGAAATAACCCAAGAGCGATAAAGTAGTAACTAGAACTTTCAATTCATTTCATAATTATCTAGTCCATTTGAGTTGCTAGGAAATTTGAGTAACTTCAGGATCATCAAGTCTCACATAGCTACTAAGAATTTAGAGTAACTTCAGGATTATCGAGTTTTACATAGCCACTAATAACTTAGAGCAACTGCAGTATTACCGAGTCTTACTTAGCTACTAAGAAATTACAGTAACTGCATAATTATCAAATTAACTTAGCTACTAAGAAGTTAGAGTAACTTCAGTTTATCAACTCTGACTTAGCTACTAAGAAGTTAGAGTAACATCAGGATTATCGAGTCTCACTTAAATACTAAGATATTAGAGAAACTACAGGATTATCGAGTCTCACTTAACTACCAAGAAGTTAGAGTAACTACAGGATTATCGAGTCTCGTGTAGCTACTAAGAAGTTAGAGTAACTTCAGTTTATCAACTCTGACTTAACTACTAAGACGTTAGAGTAACTACAAGATTATCGAGTCTCACTTAAATACTAAGAAGTTAGAGTAACTTCTCGATAATCGAGTCTCACTTAGCTACTAAGAAGTTAGAGTAAATTCTCGATAATCGAGTCTCACTTAAATACTAAGAAGTTAGAGTAACATCAGGATTATCGAGTCTCACTTAGCTACTAAGAAGTTAGAGTAACTACAGGATTATCGAGTCTCACTTAAATACTAAGAAGTTAGAGTAACTTCTCGATAATCGAGTTACACTTAGCTACTAAGAAGTTAGAGTAACTGCATAATTACGAAATCTAACTTAGCAACTAAGAAGTCAGAATAACTGCATGATTACCAAGTCTCACTTAGCCACTAACAAGTTAGAGTAACTGCAAGATTACCAAGTCTATCTTAGCTACTAAGAAGTTAGAGTTACTTAAGTCTGATATCATTTGTTGATGTTTCTCACGTCAAAGTCTGATATCGTTTGTTGATGTTTGTAACGTCAAATCTGATACCATTTGCTGATGTTTGTCACGTCAAAGTCTGATATCATTTGCTGAACTTTTCACGTCAGTCTATCATTTGTGAATGTTTGTCAAGTCAAAGTCTGATGTCATTTGTGAATGTTTGTCACGTCAGTCAATCATTTGTTGATATTTGTCACGTCAAAGTCTGATATCATTTGCTGATCTTTTCACGTCAGTCTATCATTTGTGAATGTTTGTCAAGTCAAAGTCTGATGTCATTTGTGAATGTTTGTCACGTCAGTCTATCATTTGTTGATATTTGTCACGTCAAAGTCTGATGTCATTTGTTCACGTTTGTCACATCAAAGTCAGATATCATATGCTGATCTTTTCTCGTCAGTCTATCATTTGTGAATGTTTGTCAAGTCAAAGTCTGATGTCATTTGTGAATGTTTGTCACGTCAGTCTATCATTTGTTGATATTTGTCACGTCAAAGTATGATATCATTTGCTGATGTTTGTCACGTCAAAGTCTGATATCATTTGCTGATCTTTTCACGTCAGTCTATCATTTGTGAATGTTTGTCAAGTCAAAGTCTGATGTCATTTGTGAATGTTTGTCACGTCAGTCTATCATTTGTTGATATTTGTCACGTCAAAGTATGATATCATTTGCTGATGTTTGTCACGTCAAAGTCTGATATCATTTGCTTCAGGATTATCAAGATTCCCTTAGCAACTAATAATTTAGAGTAACTTCAGGATTATTGAATCTTCCTTAGCTATTAAAAAGTTAGAGTAACTTCAG